TCAATGTAATTGAGTTACTTAAAAATTTGCAACGGATATATAGTAATTATAATTTGGTTGAATTTATCTTAAATAAAAATTCTAAAATAATTTTAGCAGAGCGCGGTTTCGATCCACGGACCTTTGGGTTATGGGCCCAGCACGCTTCCACTGCGCCACTCTGCTCTCGAATTCGAAGCAATTCTAAATACTTTAAGAAACGCATCACTTTAAACTATTTGCACAAAAATTAGTGAATTAAAAGGTTAAAAAATGTCCCGATGTAATTAAGGGATTTAAAAATTTTGCAACGGATATATATTACTTATAATTTGGTTTAATTTTTCTTAAATAAAAATTCTAAAATAATTATTGCAGAGCATGATTTTGATCCATGGACCTCTTGGTTATAGGCCCAGCAAGTTTCCAATACGCCACTGTGCTCTCGACATCAGAGCAAATCTAAAAACTTTAAGAATCGCATCACTTTAGTTGATTTGCATGAAAATGGCATGGAATAAAATTTAAAAAATCTCTCGATGTGTAATTGAGTTATTTAAAAAATTTTCAATGTATATATAGTACTTATAATTTGGTTTAATTTTTCTTAAATAAAAATTCCAAAATAACTATAGCAGAGCGTGGTTTTGATCCACGGACCTCTGGGTTATGGGGCAAGCACGCTTCCACTGCGCCACTCTGCTCTCGAATTCGAAGCAATTCTAAATACTTTAAGACACGCATCACTTTAGACTATTTGCACGAAAATGAGCTGAAATAAAAGGTTAAAATATGTCCCGATGTAATTGTGATGTATTGAAAAATTTTGCAACGGATATATAGTACTTATAATTTGGTTTAATTTTTCTTAAAAAAAAATTCTAAAATAATTTTAGCACATCGTGATTTCGATCCATGGACCTCTAGGTTATGGGTCCAGCACGCTTCCACTGCGTCACTCTGCTTTCGACCTCAAAGCAATTCTAAAAACTTTTAAAAACGCATCACTTTCAGACGATTTGCACGAAAATTGTCTGGAATAAAAGTTAAAAAATCTCTCGATGTAATTGAGTTATTTAATAATTTTGCAACGGATATATAGTTCTTATATAATTTGGTTTAATGTTTTTAAATAAAAATTTAAATAAAATTATAGCAGAGCGTGGTTTCGATCCACGGACCTCTGGGTTATGGGCCCAGCACGCTTCCACTGCGCCACTTTGCTCTCGGCTTGAAAGCAATTCTAAAAACTTTTAAAAACGCATCACTTTCAGACGATTTGCACGAAAATGAGCTGAAATAAAAGGTTAAAAATGTCCCGATGTAATTGAGTTACTTAAAAATTTGCAACGGATATATAGTAATTATAATTTGGTTGAATTTATCTTAAATAAAAATTCTAAAATAATTTTAGCAGAGCGTGGTTTCGATACACGGACCTCTAAGTTATGGGCCCAGCGAGCTTCCACTGCGTCACTCTGCTTTCGACTTCAAAGCAAATCTAAAAACTTTTAGAAACGCATCACTTTAGACGATTTGCACGAAAATGGCCTGGAATAAAAGTTACAATATTTTTCAATGTAATTGAGTTACATAAAAATTTGGCAACGGATATATAGTACTTATAATTTGGTTGACTTTTTCTTAAATAAAAATTCTAAACTAATAATTTTAGCAGAGCGTGGTTTCGATCCATGGACCTCTTAGTTACGGGCCCAAAACGCTTCCACTGCACCACTCTGCTCTCGTATTCGAAGCAATTCTAAATACTTTAAGAAACGCATCACTTTAAACTATTTGCACGAAAATGGCATGGAATAAAAGTTAAAATATCTCTCGATGTAATTGAGTTATTTAAATAATTTGCAACGGATATATAGTACTTATAATTTGATTTAATTTTTCTTAAATAAAAATTCAAAAATTATTATAGCAGAGCGTGGTTTCAATCCACGGACCTCTGGGTTATGGGCCCAGCATGCGTCCACTGCGCCACTCTAATCTCGTCTCCAGAACAATTCCTAAAACCTTTAAAAACGCATCACTTTCAGACAATTAGCACGAAAATGGCCTGGAATAAAAATTAAAAAATCTCACGATGTGTGTATAGTTGAGTTATTTAAAAAAATTTTAACGTATATATAGTACTTATAATTTGGTTTAATTTTCTTAAATAAAAATTCTAAAATAATTATAGCAGAGCGTTCTTTCGATCCACGGGCCTCTGGGTTATAGGCCCAGAAAGCTTCCAATGCGCAACTGTGCTCTCGACATCAGAGCAAATCTAAAAACTTTAAGAATCGAATCACTTTAGTTGATTTGCATGAAAATGGCATGGAATAAAAGTTAAAATATCTCTCGATGTAATTGAGTTATTTAAAAAATTTGGAACGGATATATAGTACTTTTAATTTGGTTTAATTTTTCTTAAATAAAAATTCTAAAATAATTTTAGCAGAGCGCGATTTTGATCCAAGGACCTCTGGGTTATGGGCTCAGTACGCTTCCACTGCGCCACTCTGCTCTCGGATTCGAAGCAATTCTAAATACTTTAAGAAACGCATCACTTTAGACTATTTGCACAAAAATGAGCTGAAATAAAAGGTTAAAAAATGTCCCGATGTAATTGAGGTATTTAAAAATTTTGCAACGGATATATATTACTTATAATTTGGTTTAATTTTTCTTAAATAAAAATTGTAAAATAATTATAGCAGAGCGTGGTTTTGATCCATGGACCTCTGGGTTATGGGCCCAGCAAGCTTCCAATGCGCCACTGTGCTCTCGACATCAGAGCAAATCTAAAAACTTTAAGAATCGCATAACTTTAGTTGATTTGCATGAAAATGGCATGGAATAAAAGTTAAAATATTTCTCGATGTAATTGAGTTATTTAAAAAATTTGCAACGGATATATAGTACTTATAATT